TTCAGCATGACTGTTGAGGGAATATTATTGATTTAGCTGTCAAGCTCAGGTAACACCTTTCACACTGGAACTTCCCCCTTTCCCTTCTCTCCATCCTCCTTATCTGTCCACCGCTCCTGACACCACCAACACACACCAGGGCACAGGTATTTTTTTTTTTGATCTCCCAAACATCATGCATAATGCACCACATCTCAGCCTGTGCGCTGCATGTAGTACATCAAACGTCTTCGCTAAAGGCAAGTGTACCGTGGAGCAGCAGCAGAGTGACGCCCTTCAGGTTAAGGCGAGCAGTCTATTATTTGTGCCCACCTCTCCCTGCTGCCACTTAAACACACTCTGCCTCAAGGAGACACTCACTCTGTTGCTATGGAGTTTGTGTTCAGATGGATACAGTCGAGCACACTTTACAGGTCCTCAAGCCGGAGGACTGATATCAATGAAACAGGTCAACGTGGACGGGTGTAAGTGCATGCGAGTCACAGACAAATAGGTTAATTACCACTGACAGATCATCTAAACCCTAAAACTGCAACTGCGATCTCATACGGTATTTATCAAACAGCTTGAAAGTAGTTTGGTATTCAGTAAAATATTTAGAAACCCAGATTCAAACTGAATCCTTGAAGTACCATCTTTGCTCTGAATGGGCCTGGGATTTAAATAGTGCTAATTCTACTTCAGTGTTCAGCTACAGTATGTGTAGAGTGATTTGCCCTTGACAGTTTTCTCTTGCCGTGAGGTCTCTTTTGTTGGCCCTGAAAGAACCGCCTGTTTTTTGCCTGGTTGTCTTGAATGAGTATGAGTTTGAATAGTGAGGGTGACTCACTCCTTGAATGCAGCAGTTGCGTAAGAAGTGAAGTGATAGGCACAGTACAGTTGAAACAAACTGGCAACACTTTGAGCATTTGAACTGATCACTGTATAAAGTCAGAAGTTAGCGGTTTTGTGTCCTTGTGATTGATGGATGGCTTTGTTGGTGCGAGACATTCACCTGAATGTACTTTGATTGTGTTTCCTTAAATCCACTGGAAAAAAGACAATGGAAGGAAGATTAAAGCAACATTATGCAACAATTTTTACCTGAATAGAAGCTGACTTGTCTGTGACTTGCTCACCAGATTCTTATTTGTTGGGGGTTATTGGGACATGAAGTGGGTTTCAACAAATAAGATGAAAAGTGAAGAGCCAGAAAATCAATCAACAGTGTAAATGTTACGTGATGGGCGGCTGTGGCTCAGGGGGGTCGTCTAATAACCAGAAGGTTGGTGAGTGAATCAGAAACAGATAACAAACTCTAGCTTCAAAGTTTCAAAATCATTTTGATGCTACACTGATTTGTAATAAGGAGAAAGTTGCTAGTTTCCTGTCAACTCCTCCTGAATAGATGTTTTTGAACAATATCACTTCGGTTGAGTGGGTACAATCTCTAAGTGCATAAGGGTTAGGGTTTCTGCAACAACAGCTGTGTCATAATTCAGGGGCTGCATCCTTCGGAGGCTGCGTTTGAAGATGGATTACATCACAGCGGCACGATTGCATTTTCCAATTTGAAGGCTCCTTCAAAAGCACACAGTCCCACATCTTGTTAGAGCAGATTTAAATTGTAAGTTGCATGGTCACATGTCATTGTCCCAGTGTCAGTGCATGACTGCATAAGCCTTAATGTCCTTGTCTGAGAGCAATAATAATAATGATCATTAATGCATACTGAATGATGGTGGCCTTTTTCATGGGCTATTTGGGATGTTTGTGGTAATGCATATATAATAATGATAATAAATTCAAAATGCTTCACTTTACATGACAAGAGGAAAGAGCTTTAACAGCCACAAGTACCCAACACTACAAAAATAAGTAGTACAACAGAAATGATCTTTTAAGAGTATATGTTTTAAACCTATCTACGTACGAGCGTGTGTTACCAACTCAGAAGGAGTCTTAGGTGCTGTTAGGAGGAACCTCTCATTGCTGATGTGCATGAAACTGATGCATTGTTTACATGAAGCTTCAGTAGGTTTCTTTCTTATTATTTCTCACATGTACTTAGGTGTCTTGAGACTGGGCTTCTTGAGACAGTAATTAAAGACTTGAGAAGTCTTTCACCATTAAGATCATTTAGTTTGATTTTATTTCTTATCTTTCTTTCTCAGCCGTGTCTTTCACTCTCATAATGTATCACTAGTGCTGCTGATTTTTTGACATTTTCACAGTGTTTTTTACAATTTTCACATCCACACTGGGCTCTAATTATTATCACGAGAGCTTCTTGTTCTTCACTTCACACATTAGCTTGGCATTTTGGCTTGACTGAGTTTGAGCGAGCGAACACAGGCCTGTAACAGCGTTAAACACATCCAGCTGTCGCTGCGAGATGGCCCTCTGCCCTACTACTCTGTACCCTTTGTGGCTTTTTACAGGCTGCTCTGCATCGTGTTAGGCCTAAGAAGTTATGGCACTAGAACAGTGCAGAGGAAGACTGCAGCCACTCAAACACAGCGAGATACTGAGGATGCAAATAGGTCAACAGAGTACAAGGCGGGGGGAGAATGGAGAAAACAGTGGGAAAGAAGTGAAGTACCCTTTCTTCTTGTATTTTATGTCTGCAACATGTTGTGAGCGAGTTGAGACTGAAATAATTCAGCAGCCAGGGGTTTACCAAGAAATAGGCAAGGAGATCACATTACTCCTGTTTTAGTGTCTTTACGCTGGCTCTCAGTATCACTGAGGATTTATTTGACTTGTTTTTAAGTCTTTTAATGGTACAGCATCCTCATACATGATTGTTACTGATTGTTTATCGGAGTATGTTCCAAACCATTCCCTCAGGTTTTCTACCGCTGGCTTGCTCAATATCCACAAAACAAACTATAAAAAGTTTGGGGAAGCAGCTTTCTCTTGCTATGCACCAAAGGTTTGGAACAAACTCACACCACACAAACTTCTTCTATTGACAATTTTAAGCAACAACTCAAGACCTCTTTCTATGATCTTGCTTTAATTGATTTATTCTTCTTTTTTAACTTTTTTGTCTTTATTCAATTTTTCTACCTAATTTAATACCCTATAGTTTTATGTATTCTTTTGTCCTGAAACTTTTTTTGTAGCTATGCTCTTATTGATCTCTTATAAAGCTCCTTGAGCTGCATTTTATGTATGAAAGGTGCTGTATAAATAAAATGTACTTTTATTATTATTATTATTATAATAAGAGTTAGAGGACTTTGAATTATAAACCACTGAAACTTCACCATCTCATAAATTAGTGTATTCCTTCATTCTTTCTCCCACTCATGGTAAGTCTACCTGCCCCTCCAGTGATTGTGAATGATGCAACGGATAACCTCCCTTTATGTTTGTCATTCAAACCTTCAAATCCAAGTTCATCCAGTTATTAGTTAAAAATAGCAACAAAAGTTACCGCAGGTTTTTAGCAATATAGCTCCAGAATGACTCTAGAACTAAAATGTCATATAGTATTTTACCTCACAAAAAAGTGTTGGAGCATACGCTTTTGCAGAACTACGCCTATGGTAGCCATGGTAAACTTTAACTGTAAAACATCAGCCTGTCAACATTCCTGTTGTGAGTGTTCTGGCAGACTGACATTAGCATTTAGCTCCTAGCACCACTGTGCTTTGCTTCATTAAAAATTACTTACTCTCATCTCTTCAAAATCCTGCTGTGAAAATTTGACTTGCACTGCCATGTGTGTTGTTTGATGATTTGATTGCACTTGGTTTCCTTAATCTGATAAACCATCTAATATTAATCTCATGTTGTATGCATGAGATGCCCTGGGATTTTCAGCAATTTATATCTTTATTTTGTTTGTTACTTTGTTTGTTTGTTTATTTTCCCTTTACTTAGGAAGATCTCCTGGGATCAAGATCTCTCTCTGGGTATAAATACAGTTATCACAGAACCAAACACTCACTCTCACACAATATTCAGCATTCACACAGAAACCTGCTGAAAAAGTAGCATGTACGAGTTAGTAGCATGTTGTCCTCTGAATTATCAGCATCTCTGGTCAGATTTCTTTTGTATCTCTTACTCAGGTAAATGTACCATGTTTGTCATTCTTACATTTATGTTCTATAGATTTTTCACTCTTCCCAGGGATCTCCCAGAATAGTTCCTCCATGTTGACTGTGCTGGTCAATAAAACATTTTGAATTCTCATGTTGCCATTTGCTGCACCACATGCTCTGTGCCTGATTCAGAGCGCTTGTCTTTCCCAGGGAATAGTGAGGGTGCTGCAATATGCAACAGATGTGAGCAGTGGCCTGTGAGTGGGCTCCTGAGTCGTGTGCAATAGATGATCACATGGACGAGTCGATGCTTGAGGGACGCGAGGCACAGGTTCCGGAACGCTCCTTGGCAGCCAAAAGCGCCTGTCACAGTTATGGGGACTGTGGGGCTGGGAGAGGAAGGCGAGTCAAAAGCCAGAGAGCGGGGTTAGAATAACTCCAGTCACCCTTAAATGCCAAACCCCCTCTTTTTCACCTCTTTCTGTCTTTCTTCACACTCCCACCTTCTGCCAACTTTCCACTTTTCCCTCTATCCTGCTCTCTCCATTGTGCACTCGCTCACAGTTGCGCTCTCTTGCTCAGTCGTGCTCACATTCCCATGCAGAGATGTGAAGTTGTGTGCGAATATCAGCTGAACTTCCACCCTACTTCCCATCGAATGTCCCCTAAATATCCCTCTCTATTTTTACTATGCTGTCTCTCCTCTCTTTGCCCTCACTTTGTCCCCTCACGCTCACTTTTCTTCAGTTTCTGTGTCCTCTAGTTGCTCTCTGAGGAATCATACACGGTCCTTGGAAGGGCACAGTTAGACTGTCACACTCACTTGGGCAGGGCTCCTTGTCAGTACACGGGTTCAAAGGGTTTCTGTGCTCATATGGTCGACCTCATCTGCTGGAACACACACACATGCACACGCACAAACTGACAAACCGAATTTTTCTAACGCCATGTTTTTGTCCCTTCCAGCTCTGCACGAGTTCCCAACAGACCTGTTCACAAACAAGGAGCGAACAGAAGGAGCCGTGGCCCTGCATGTCCTGTGTGTAAGTTGGCCTGAGCATTTACTGCATGTGTGTCAACATGTCTGTTTGTGTCTAAGTGCACAAATGACCTTTAGTGTTTTAGCAGGAGACGTTACATCACTCTTAAAAGGATCGGTCAATGGCTTGTCAATAATCTGGCAAATATCCCATAAAGTATCTGTCTCATCCGTCTTCTTGACCTGGTGCAGTGTTCCTACGCTGTTCAAAACTATTAAAACTACACCACTGAGTGAGATGACACGTTTCTTCACTAACACGAACACTGGCACTGTCGTGTATTTCGATACAGTTATATACACTATCCTTCTGCCTTGAATACTTTCCAGAACAACAAATGTGTGTGAACTGTAAATAACCCCCCAAAAAATGTCACTCTCTTTAATCAACATTGCTTAAAACTACAGGAGAGTATAGACAGACGCTGCTTTTTGTCTAATCAGGAGATTTGTTGATTTTATTATTTTTTTAAATCTCACCAGTAAAAAAAGTCTACAAACTCGTATCCAGTGTCATTGTTAGACTTACATGGGGCAGATTTTTTAATGGGATCATAATTGTTGCAGCAGAGCCAGCGATATTAGCTTTGTATTCCACACATTCTTGTCAAAACATGACAACTACATTTCCCACAATGCAACCAGACCACACAAGCTCGAAAAATCAAGTGTGTTATGCCAGTAGCAGTTCAAGTACCAATATAGCTTCATAACTCTACCTCAAACTGAGAGTGTGAGTGTGCAGCAGAGGTCTGGTTAATGGTCAGTGATGATGATTGAGGCATTTAATCAGATTTTACAGCTCTCTCTAAATCTATAAAAGGTTTTAAACAACTAGACTCTTGGAAACAGACTTTAATGTGTTCAATTTAAACAATGTGACTCAATCCTTCTGTTCATCCTGCTGTCATCCAAAGCAAGGATGAACAAATGGTGCAAGGTAGTTTATCCTCGCCGGCTGAGCGAGAAAGAATCTGGATCAGCAGCACGATGCTCTCCTCCTCTCCCCTCCAGCGTGGCCCAGCGGGGGGGCAATAAGCAAAGACCGAGGCTTAAATGAAGCCCTCTGCTGTCACTCCAACATGACTGCCACAAAGTATGCACAGTGTTCCAGCCACATGGCCCACGTTGTGTTTCGCTGTTGCTAATAGTCTCTGGGGAGCTGACTGTAATGGAAGCTCATGCCAGCAGAGCAGCATCTCCAGGGAACTTTGCTGTGCATAAACCGAGCACTAAGAACCACAGAATGGGCCTTTTTGCCAGTACACGCCTGACATAGGCAATGTCGCTACTTACAGAGCAGCCACCCTCTGAGTTAGCCTTTTCCTGCAGCAGAAGGGCAAATAAAAGTAACCTTTTCTAGGATGCTTAGATATTTAAAAAACAAAGTATATCATCACCAGCTTTGTGCCTGTGATGTCTAACCTTTAAAATAATGTACTCATTTTACAGCAGCTGTATCTGTGCTTTTCTTTGAGAGATCAGCAGCCTCCGTGGTTGTAAGGACAATCAGTACTATAGTTTATTATACAGATGTGATGATTGCAGACTTTTACAGCTGTCTATGTTTAGAAAATGAGAGAATTCACACATAAATCATATTTGAAATGTCAATCAAATCTGTTTGACGTTAAAGTTCATTCCTGACCTTAGGAACAATAAAATGTTTACTGTTTCGTTCTCTTACAATCTATTCCAGGAGCATTTTCCCCTTGAAATGAGAAAGAAATTAAGTTGAGTGATGTTATTTTTTTTCCCCTAATTAATTTGTTGATCTTTTTAAATAATCAATTCATTGTTAAATCCCTCAAATTGTAAAACAAAAGTGAAAAAACACATTACAGAGCCTAAGGTTACAAACTCAAATGTGTGGTTTGCCCAACCAACAGTCAGAAGAGATCAGTTAATAATGTTATTACTATTATTGTTATTATTATTATAAACATATTGCACTCATATAAAGGATATAGTAGTGAAAACATGTTTGGCATTTTTATATAAATGACGTGAATTTTGTCATGGATTATCAAAATTGTTTTAGCACTACATTTACTACATTTAAAAATATATATATATATAAGTAATTTTAAAAAAACATTCATTCACTAATATTCTGTTTAAACAATTGGGACTTATTGGTCTTGACATCACACTAATCTGGCTTTGAATGCACTGACAGTCCTCTTTCAACCTGCAGCTGTACTTTTAACCAGAGAAGTCCTAATAAATACTTATTTTCTTGCTAATTGTTGTCAAATATAAAAATTAAAGGCCTCGTGAAGCCAAGATGTTTGGTCTGAAAATTCTATTTAAAAACAACTAAACAGATTAAAGCACAGATGTCATGTCACCATGAGGCTAATGTTGTTGGTATTACACTGCATTAATGCAGTAGCAGCATATGGTATTAGATTAAGGACGCTGCTTTAAATATGGATGTGATGCTGCCGTCTTTTTGTTGTATTGCCCTGTGATTTAGCCACAGAGCAGGTCATCCTTCCAGTACCCAAGATACTGAACCCCTGGTAGTGAATGGGTGATGTGTGATAGAGAAAGTGTTGCACATAGATGCTCTGTAGGAATGTGTGTGTGAACGGGTGAATGGAGAAAACTGTACTGTAAAGAGCTTTGAGTGGTCATAGAACCTAAACAGGCTCCATGTAAATACAGACAATTTACCATTTAAGTGAAGCTGCACTCAGATATTCAAGTATGTTTCCTGTGTTGGATTCAGCTAAAGGACAGAAAACTGTAAACGTTTCGCATTGAAGCTTCTTTTCTGAATTTTAATCACAGTATTTTACTTTTCTGTCTTGGCAGCTTATGTATACTGCTGACCCCCATTTCTGCACCACTCATTAATACTGGCATCATCACTTCTCAGAAGAGATTTGCTCTCAGAAACACAAACATAACTTTTAAGGACTTCCATTTCTGCATGCACACGAAAAACATATGCACAAGTGGAAACAAATGTACATTCAGCATATACAGTACGCTTGTATACTCACTGATGCTGACACCCACTTACAGTAGACTTAAGATGATGATAAAGGCTGCTTTCATTTCACTCTCTCAACCCTACATCAGAATCCAGATTAAACCCAGTCATCAGGATTACATGTGACCTTTGACTGTTGCTTGCACTGAATGGACAAACCCTTGGTTGATGGCACGCACACACACACATACACACACACACACACACACACACAC